AGATCTGTTTCATACTGAGATCTGGTGAGAGTGTGATGAGCTTTATTGCAGTATAACTGCGCAGTTTTGATAATCGGCCTCGGGCTGACTGAGAAATATGTCCGGGTTTTGTTTGCAGTGGAAAAGGTGGCAACCCCTACATGCGTGCAATGCATTATGGGCGACATGAGTCCGACCTTCCTGTTGGTTGCGAGCAGAGCACCATTGTGCATGCTGTTTACTCTAAATGTTAGTAAAGTGGACTTCCATGGTAAACTGGACTCCCATGGTCAGGGGTCGGAAACCAACATAACAAGAAGAGCCATTTGTTTCGAATTCAGATGGGAAAAAAACACCCTCTCAATATTTCAAGAGCCGCGATGCAGTCCTTAAAGAGCAGCATGCGGCAGCGGAGGCGCAAGACTCTGCACGTGCCCGGTCTGAGTCCAACGCCGCGGTCGAGTGGCGATGGACCTGATGCGCGCATGCATTTTGATGATTGGGGATCTAGGCAGCTGTGGAACCCGCAGCCCGGGAAAGGTTACAGATAGAGAGAGAGAGAGAAAGAAAACAACACCCCATTCAGACAAAGGAGGGGGAAAAGGCACAATGCGCACGTAGGTCGGCGCACTGATAGTGCAGCGACGTTAACATCTCCATTCTGTGTGGTAGTGATGTCAGGTTTTGCAAAATACCATTGGATATGGCTGTGATGGTGGTTGTGGCAGGTGGAAGGGTTGGGGGGGGGGCTGCCTTGCTGATAATCCACAGTAAAGGTGAAGTCATGTTACACGAGTTATTCTGCCTCTCCTGCCATGACTTCTTTTCACGGTTTGATCCTCTGATCATGATTATGTCTGTGCGTGGAATCGCGGTACGATTTGCACGTGTGCACGCATTGCGGCGGGGCTGGCAAGTTGCACGTTGTTTTGCGAGTGAGGTTTCTCGTGACTCTCTGCGAATCTGAAACACCTTTGACGTTATGAAAAATAATAATTCTTACACCTTTTTTAATCCACTGCTGGATTAAGGCCTCCCCCTTCCATCCAAGTTGTGCTGTGGTTCATGGAAGTTGTTTGGACCATACTTCACCACGCTGGTCAATGCGGGCTGGTGAAGTGTGGGCAGGGTAGGTGCCCAGTAGAGGTTAATTATGCTCGTATAACGTCTGCCACCTGATGAGTGCCATTGCTGGGAATCGAACTCAGGTGGATGGGTTCATACCGCAGTGCTCTAACCACTGCACCACCAGTACACGCTACTTTTCACTTGAAGGGTCTTGAAACAGTATCTACACTTCTGCGAGTGTACACTGAGCGCCAGCAGCTAGACAAATATCAAGATCTGTATGACTGACACAACTAAATGTTCGAGGTTAAATATAGCGTCACGTTACACGTTATCATCGTCACAGCAGTTCTGATAGTGCCTCGTTGGGTGATGTGCGATCCTGTCCACCTCGTGTAGATGATTCAGCCTCGGCCTTGGCGATGAGATCAGCCTGGAACATGCGATTGCTGTAGGCCACATTTCACGGCCAAGTTGAATTGACAACCAAAAGAAAAATCTGAATCGCGCTTTGCAGGGGGAGACGCCCCAACGATGATCGAGCACTCGCCGATTCACTCCATTCACTCGCTCACCGGCGGGGCAACTCACCTCTTCGTAACTCTTCTGTTGCTGCTGTGCCACTGCCTTACTGGTCCTGTGAACATCACTCGTCCATTCCTCCTGCCGTGTTGAGGAGCCTGGTTCCACCGGGCTGTCTGTGTCTCTTCCCATCTCACGCAGTGTTCAACCACTGCGCACCTCAGGTTAACACAATGCAAAGACAAAAATCATCCGTATAGCCTTGACATCTCTTTGGGGTAAGTGTTGTTAGCGAGCATCTTTAAAGGCCGGCACGGCCACGGGAGGGAGTGGATGGCCAGCACCACGCCCGGCTGCATTTGTCTTCCCAGTGGCGATGTTTACGCATCACACCACGTACTTATTGAGGCTGAGTCGACCTAGGGAGGCCCAGAGACAGGTTCAGATAATCGTCACTGGTGTTGGCCGTGACCTGGAATCGATCTCGGGTCGCTGGGCTTGTAGCGCAGCGTAGCGCTAACCGCTACACCACCACTCCCCACAATACACCCACTCACTCACACACTCACCCATTAAGTCACTTATTAACTCGCCTACTCACGCACCACAAGGCGGTTCACCACACTGCTCGGGGTATGCTTCTTCCCCCGCACTGCGACACTTTGCAATCCCCTCCCTGCATCGTCTAGTTCCGCATTGTGCTGTTTGTTGCGAGCTGCTTGGCTTTGTGGGGCATTTGGGTCTGTGCTCAGCAACTGCTTAAAAACAAACGATGCTACGAACCGAGTGACCCGAGTTCGATTCCGGCTCATGTTCAACATCAATGACGATTATCTGAATTGGCCCTGAGCCTCTCGTAGATCAACTCGGCCTCAAATGAGTGTCAGGTGCGGTGCGTGAACATCGCCACTAGGGAGACAAAGGCGTTCGGGCGTTGCTGGCCACCCACGCGTTTGCGTGCCATTCCGTTGCTGCTCGCTCTCAGCACCTACCCCGACAGTCTGGCAAGACTAAATGGGTTGATATTTGTCTTTATATATACAAAAAGGAAATTGGGCTCAAGCCTGAGTTCTGTTGCCGTTTGGTGACAGGTCAGGTAAGGCCGCCGTGGAAACGACGGGCTGATCCCGCTAGTTCAGGACGGTGAACCGTTCGGGTCAGCTCGATCCTGGGAATCCGTCCTTAGACTAGGAGCGGAATTGGAACCAGGTGGTGGCGACATCACAGAGGCTGATGTCGCCCCCCACAGAGCCCAGGCTCAATGGGGACGGGGGCAGGGGGGGGCTAGCGGGTCGCGGCGTGGAAAGTGCATTGCAACGCAAATTGAATCAAGGCTTTGGGATAAACAACTAAATAATGACGTGGTTGAACAACAACAATTGCTGTTCGACGTTCCCCTGCTCGCGTTGTGACTCACCTGGGCGCAGGGCCTTGCGGCCGTCAAGCCAGCAGCCGATGGGGGGGGGGTCGTGTCGGATTACAGCCTCCGTTGTGCGTATGAACAAACAGTGGCGGATGCGAACGGGGCGAGCGCACTGGGCTCGCCAGGCAGAGAGAGAAGGGGGTGGGGGGTTTGATTCGAACTCCCGGCGCGTGAAGTGTGTGTGTGGTTGGGTTGGGGGTGTGAAGTGTGTGTGGTTGGGTTGGGTTGGGGGGGGTGTAAAGTGTGTGTGTACTACTGAGACGTCTGGCCGGCGTGGAAGACCAACGTGTAATTCAGAATCAGAATCTCTGTTCAGTCTGGAGAACGACGATGAAATGCGAAGCGTCTTTGCACGGCTGTCTAGTAAATTGGATGCATAAGAATAGTTTTTACCCTGTCTGGCGATAGAACAGGAGGTGTTCAGATGTTCAACCACTAAATCGATGCCTTTTTGCAAGTCATCAAGACTGCAGTAACCACACGTACTTGTGGTGGACATGCAAACACACTCTGATCATATGCAAGCATTGTCTTTGAAACTGATTGTCCTACACCAAAGACAGCCTTCTTAATGGTCGTGTCTCACTACCAGTGTCAGAGAAACAGGACAAAGGCAATGCACGTATCAGAGCACTTAGAGCTCGGGGTGAGCAGCGATTTCATGGGATGAATGTAATCGAGAGAGGTTGTCTCTCCAGATCTGCACTTATTGGGGGGGGGGGGGGGCGGTAGGGGTGGGAGTGCTGAGTGGGCATCCACCAGCAGTGACGTGATTGAGACATTGCGGGGCTGCGCCCTGGGTTGTCTCGCGCAGTGTTAACGTCGCGCGCGGGCATCTTCCAGACGCTGCGGGAGGGTGGAGGGGGGCGAGGGGGTGGGGGGTGGAGGGGGTGGAGGGGGGCGAGGGGGTGGGGGGTGGAGGGGGTGGAGGGGGGCGAGGGGGTGGAGGGGGTGGAGGGGGGCGAGTGACGTAGCCGCGAGTCATCGATCGCCCGCATAGGTGGAGGATTAGCGGTAGGACTGAACGATTTTGGGAAAATGTCTAATAGCGATTTTTTTTCTGACAGATTGCGATTGCGAATTGATTTGCAAAATTTGAAGTCAAGCTTCAGTTCAATATTGTCTGTGTAATAGATTTAAAACACGTGATTGAGCATTACCACATTATTCCATCAAAATATGAACTGCTTTAGATATTCTAATACAAGGATTATAATTTAAAATATATTTAATTTCGATAGAACAAACAAACATAGAACAATTGTTACGTTAAATCAAGTTAAAATAATAAAATAATAAAACATTCCAAAAATAACTTAACATGACTTTTCAAATCGCAATAAATCGCAGCATTTGCGATTTGCTAATCGCGTTGTTTCAAATTGAGATTTCGATTCGAAATAGATTAATCGTTCAGCCCTCATGTAGCGGTGGGCTAAGAGGAACACATGCCTAGACGCAATGCACGCCGACTGAGCGAGCCCACGGCGACCGGGGATCATCAGCGCGCGCCTGCCGCGAACCACTCGGCACGCGCGGCCCACACTGGAGGCGCGCGGTCGCTGGCCGCTTGCCACTGGGCACCTCGCGACAAGTGCGTGGCACGGTTGGGATTTTTTTAGGGTTTTTTTTTCTTCCTTCGGGGACCTGGAAACCTCGATTTGCCCGCCGGAGAGCCTCCGTGCAGTGGCCACGCTTCCTGTGCGGCGCGAGATGAACCTGAACCCCACCCCCCTAAGGAATGAAATCGGTGCGGGCACGCAGTGCGGACTCGAGGAAGAATGATTCCAGCGCACGGGACATTTTTGTTTGTTTTGTTTGTTACGTAAATAAATAAATAACGACTGTCAGATGGCGACGATAGGCACAGATTTTGAGATAGCGAATGCTCAACCTCATGCTAATAATAGAGAGGGTGGTGTGTGCATGTCAGTGTTAAGGTCAAGAGCTCATCGCAACCGTTGCTGTTGTCACCAAAATCTCACGACCACTCCCTTCCTTCTGCCAGATCCCGTTGCTGTTGAAGAGTCAAGAGACACATTGAAGGGCGACTCACCTTCAGCTCATCTCCTTGATCGCCGAGCGCTGGACGCCACTCAAATTCCCGATCTCGGTAACCTCTCCTTCCTCCACCCTGCCCACGTGTCCCACCCATCACAACCCCTCCTCCTAATCCTAACCTCCAAGTTGCTTACCCTATCCTCCTCCTCCTCCTCATCCACCCTGCCCACGTTTCCCACCCATTACAACCTCCTCTTATTGATTACATTTAAAATGCGTTCCTGCTACATTCGTGTTCCAAACCTCAAAAGTTGTTTGCACTATCCTGCCATTAAATTACTAACGTAACTTTGATAAAAAAAAAAACTTGCAGACATTGTTCAATCCTACTTCTTTTCGAGGAAGGTCCTCCAATGTTGACATATTTGTCCAATATCGGTTACATCGTGTGTATTAGGTATGGGGGGGGGGGATCCTGTAGGAGATCACATGCAGAACAAGTGTCGGACATTCAAACGCCTGCATGATGAAGGCCTTCCCATGCCATTTCAGTCATGGGGTTGTTTGACCATTCTTTACCGTGTGGGTCAGTGCGAGTCGGTGATGACGAGGAGATCCAAGTGGTGCTTCGGATGTCACTCGCCACTGATGTTAGCCGTGGCTGGGAATCAAACCCAGCTAACCGGTTCATAGTGCAGTAACATCCACCACTCCCCATCGCCGTCATAACTATGGTTACACATCAATTATTAACGTTGCATAACAAAAACATCCACTTTAAACATACCGTCTGGCATGAAAAAGAACGCACATCAGCGCAAGAGAAAACGATAAACTGACTACGGTATTGCTTGCATTCCTACTTTTATAGTTGACATTTAAGCTATGGGCCAATCACATACCAACCAACCTACCCTGCCACCACATCTGAGAGTGTGCAGCCTCACTGTAGGAATCTTAACTTTGGAGCTTTCGTGACTGCAGGAATTATTCTTTGGTTCTTTCGGTAAAGTCACGTATAAAGAAAAAATAATAAATTAAATAATAGCATACGACGTTTCGATTGCAACACAAGCAATCATCATCAGGTATAATGTCTGTCTATAATTATGTCTGTCTATAATTTTTTCTGGTTAGATTTTATGTCGCTTTTTCACTATACATGATGATGATTGCTTGTGTTGCAATCGAAACGTCGTATGCTATTATTTAATTTATATTTTTTTCTTTATACGTGACTTTACCGAAAGAATCAAAGAATAATTACTCACTGTAGGAGTTGTGGAGGGAGCCCCAACCACCCTACTTCGAAATTCTAATGCACTTTAGTGGCATTAAATCTACTAGAGACTCGCTCAGTACTGATCCAACTTTGTCCAAAATGTTGGCGGGGGGGCGGAATCTCTTGGCCTGCTCAAACAAATGTCGTAGGGGTGTCCGCACCCCCACGACACCTACAGGGCTTGCGGCCCGGCCTCCAGCCACCTTCATCATCCCCCTCTCGTGTAACCTTTTCCGACCGCCACTTTTTTTTTTACCCCGCGCAGGCTGGAAACAAATTGGTTTCATTGCTGGATGGGGTTGGAGTCAAAGCCAACAGATTACGGGACTTGAAAGCAATAGCACGTGACAACGGAAACTTTTTTTGGGGGGCTTCGAGTGACACGAGACATTTGACGAAAAATACTTAATTATTTACGTTTTCAGCAGTCGCGCTCTTTTTTCATCTCTCAAATCCCCGACTGCCCCTGCGGTTCTGTCCGTCGCCCTCGTTATTACGGCAGCGGCGGCGGCGTGAGTGCTGTCAGAGGCGGGGCGCTTTTCCGCGGCCCTCTGGCCGTCGGAACAACGCCTCCTCCACCACCTCCGACAGCCGCGCGAGCCTCTTTGATGGGAAGGAGGCGTGTGAGATGATCAGCGCGGAATGCGGTGAGACGCCAGATGTTGCTGATAGTCTCCATGGCCACACTGTTTATTTACTTTCAGCACGAGCACGATAAAATCGGCCCAATCACCGAACATTTGAATCGGACTCGTTGCTCCCCTCTCAGGGTGCTGGCTCGGAGGAGCCGGAGGGGGGAGGCAGTTCAAGGTTGCTGTGTCTCTCCTTCCGCAAGCTCGCGCACCTTTCAATTAAAAAATACTTTAAAAAGGGGTTAAAATAAGATACATTTATAACAACCCAGGAATGTTTCTCACCTGACAGCCAGCCGCGTTGCTTTATTTTTCGCTGAACGCTGTGCAATTCCGAGGTTCTGTTTGGGCGACGATAGTTTATGCTCACCGGCGGATGACGGAATCGTCGCATAATGCGCCCTGATCTAGGAGGCTAAACAGGGTTAAGCCTGGCTAATGCACTGATGGGACAACTGACCGGCAATACCAGCCAGGTGACATTGGCTTGGGCTACGAGATGGCCAAGATATGCATGAATGTTATACCCCCACCCCATATGTGTGGGAATTTATCCAGGTACCTTGGAATCCTCCCACATGCCTAACATTGGTCAAATAGAAGGTAAATAAATAAATAATACAATTTACATAATTAAATAATTCTCACGACGTTTCGGCCACAACGCAAGCAGCCGTCTTCAGGTGAAGAACAGGTCTGTCGGGAAGACAGCGTCTGAATGAATCGCCCCAAGCTTGAATCGTATATTTAAGCTGGGTTGGAGGGGGAAGAGCGCCTTGACAAAAGAGTTTGCATATCAAGAGGAATTTAGCATATTTATGGGAAATGCAGATATGGGATAAGTCACTTGTGAAATGCGTAGATGGATCACAGAGATGTCACAGAGATGGATCACAGAGATGTCACAGAGATGGATCACAGAGATGTCACAGAGATGGATCACAGAGATGTCACAGAGATGGATCACAGAGATGTCACAGAGTTGTCACAGATTTGAATCTCCTCCTCATCGCTGAACCAGATAGCCCTTCGCCGTCTCGTACCGCAGGGCTGGTCACCAGTGCCACTGTAACCCTCAACTCGCGTCTCACTCAGCCCTGCGAGCGTCGTATTCACGGGGGCATCGGGTGGCAGCGGTGTTCATCTGTGAGCCGGAAAAGCCCTCTGTACCAGCGTGGACGGCACCCTCGTGTTCACCTTCTGAAACGCTCGCTCGTCATCGTGGCTTGCGCGATGACCACCACCACCACCACCACGTGACTTTTATTTAGTGTTGTGCGCGGTGCATTTAGCGCCAAAGCGCGTGGATTTATAGCGAATATTTGTTTGCTGGCGACTGCGTATTTCATATCGGAATCGCCTCCAGTGCTGTTGCTGCTGGCGGCTATAAAAGTTGTTTCAAAGTAAAAAGTCTCATATGCACTGCTCCCATTTCTTGAAGCTAGCAGCGTCGCAGGGACTCTGGAAGAGAGATGACGGGAGGGAATTCCGATGCCAGCGACAGGGAGCACTTCACGATAGCAGGCACAGCAGATCGGAACGGACACGTTTGTTGAACGTCAGAGGTTACAGACACTTGTCAGTAGAGATGAGGGGTACGAGGGCGGGGGTGGTTAGAAGCCAGCAATTGATGCCACTGAATAACGGCACGGCGGGCAAGGTCCCCGACACGTTCCCTTGAGTTCGGCAAGGCTACGGGACCTTGGGAAGAGGGACGCGGTGAGCGATCTTGCATCTCCGCCACTCGCTCCACGTGCGCGGGGTGGGAGGCTGCTCGTGGCGGCGTGGTGCGCACCGAGCCAGCGGCAGGGTTGCGTAACGCACGCCCCTGTTTGCCGAGCCACCCGGCAATCGCAGCAGCTGCAATGATTGCACAGGAACGGCGATGACCTCTCTGGGGATTAAAGGTCAGCCACCGTAGCAGTGGGGGAGGAAGGGGAGATTTGGGGGGGGGAAGGGGGGGGCGACCGGTGGCGAAGTGCAAACCCGCAGAAAAGTTTTCGTGATCGTCACGCCGCACACGAGAAATGGGTTCATTCGAAATCAAACTGGAATGCAAATGATGTGTGCGCATGCAAAAACATTCACACGACTTGCTCTGTCACCCTATAAAAACTAAAACATATTTTTATTTATTTTAGTTTACCAGGTAAGGCCCACTGAGCTGTATTACTCCTTTTCAGAAGCGACATGGCCACAAATGATAGCTCAACGATGTGTCTTATCACGTGGCAATTTACAACACTCTAAACGCGTGTTCATGAATGTGGAGGGAAAAACCGGAGGACCCGGGCAAAAATCCACTTGACCACGGGGGAGAACATGTTGACTACAAATATACAGGCGTCGGGGTTGGGATCAATTACCCAAACGTCCCGTGTACCAGGGGAAGTAGTTAACATCTCGCCACTTTCGTTGTCACTGTTTTATTGCTGCTAAGGTGAGAGAAGAGATGTCATTTCATCATCGTCCCTACACTGCAGAGATACCCGGGCCATTCACTGCAATTGCTCTCTCTCTCTCTCTCCTTATCGCCGGCGTCCAGATACTTTCTCGTCAATCGTTTATTGCTGGCAAGGTCAGAGAGGAGGTTTCATCCCATGCACAGACCTACACTGCGTATACATGTCCAGGCCACCTCTCTATTTCTCGCCTGCAGTCGTTTCCTTGGCGTCCGTTTTTAGCTACTTCGACCAGAGAGGAGGTGTTCATTCCACCCACAGAGCACGTGGCTTTAACATATGTAACTGAACTGCATTTTTTTTTACGTTTCGCACAAAATCTGTGCCAACGGTACGTGACCAGCGTCGCTTCTTCATTGCCACCGCCTCGATCCGCGTTGCCACGAACGCCGACGCGGCTTCGTTTTCTCACCGCCGATGTGACAATGTCAAGGGCACGGCTTTCTGCCACCGAAGCCGCTGTGCGTTCAGCCGTCGTGTCGCAGGACGTCACGAGGTCTCTTCCCCTTCCATTTCTCGCGCTGCTCAACGTTGCCCACTTCCCCCCAGTTCCTATAAGCCCGCTCGATACGAGAAACTGTTTTGGTTGGTGTGTGCCGCGCTATTATTAGCAGGCTCGCTGCTGCAGCCACAGGAACTCTCTCTCTCATCTCTTGCCTCCCACTTCCTGTAGTCTTGCTCGTTTGAAGAAGGAACGTGTTAGCTCTTATCAGCTGTGCTGCTATCATT